TCCCCAAATCCCCAAATCCCCAAATCCCCAAATCTCCAAGTCCCCAAATCCCCAAATCCCCAAATCTCCAAATTCCCAAATCTCCAAATCCCCAAAACCTCCAACCCCAAATCCCTAAATTCCCAACCCCACATTTCACGACCCAAAACCTTCACCTCCCAAAACTCCGAAATCCCCAAATCCATAATACTCCCTAGGACCTAGACTACCTCCACACACTTCCCACTGCCATGTTCCAAATCAACCTTAACATCAACATTCCAGGAAACGAAAGACGAAACAACGCGATCTTTGTTTCGCGAGACCCCAATCCTAAAATCTCCGTCGAGTAGACGTGAAGGATCTATTTCGCAAAAAGCTCGAGGAAAATGTTCGAATAAGTAGAATTTCGTTGAAACGCGATCCAATTGTTCCTGAAAGCTGGTTCAACAATCGCTCGGGACTTAGTCCGTGAATGTTGGATCCGCGTTGTTACATTTTAAGATTCCTGTTCGTTCGCGTTCGCGTTTAACGAGATACTCGTGATAACGAGCAGAGAAATACGGCAATTTTAGGAAAACTTGGGCGGAACGTTCCTAATGCCGAGGCAAAGAGAACGCTTGGTAGCCGTTTATGTGTATTTAGCAGTGATGACAGCAATTTTTAATAGGGACCTGTAATTTTGGAACAGAAACGGACAGAAACGTAGTCGTTGGGATAAATTCGCTTCACGCTAGAAAGTGCCAGTCTGTAATTTACACGCGGACAAGCAGATGGTCGAATAGCTACGAGCTTTTAACTTTTGTCTTTTCCATTGGTTAAGGAAGTTGCTGTGACTGGAAGTTTTATGCATAAACAATTCATAATTAACCTAACCTAGTTGTCAGATTAACCTAACCTAATGGGGATAAGTAACCTAACCTTGTTGTCAGAATTAAACTAACCTAGTTGCTATAATTAACCTAACCTACTTATAATAATAAACATAATCTGGTTGTCATAATTAACCTCAACTAGTTGTCATAAATAACTTAACCTTGCTGTCATAATTAAGTTTACCTACTACCGAACCTAACCTAATCTAGTTGTCATAATTCACCTAATCTAGAAGTCCTTAGTAACCAAACCTACTTAACATAATTAACTAGCCTAGCTGTCATAATCAACCTAACATATTTGTCATAATTAACCTCAACTAGTTGTCATAAATAACCTAACGTTGTTGTCATAATTAAGTTTACCTACTTATCACAACTAACCTAATCTAGTTGTCATAATTCATCTGATCTAATAGTCATAGGTAACCAAACCTACTTAACATAATTAACCTAACCTAGTTGTCATGATTAACCTAACCTATTTGTCACAATTAACCTCAACTAGCTGTCATAAATAACCTAACGTTGTTGTCATAATTAAGTTTACCTACTTATCATAACTAACCTAATCTAGTCGTCATAATTCATCTAATCTAGTAATCATAAGTAACCAAACTTACTTATCATAATTAACCTAACCTAGTTGTCATGATTAACCTAACCTATTTGTCACAATTAAACTGAACTAGCTGTCATAATTAACCTAACCTTGTTGTCATAATTAACTTAACCTACTTATCATAGTTAACCTAATCTAGTTGTCATAATTTACCTAATCTAGTTGTCATGATTCCCCTAATCTTGTAGTCATAAGTAACCAAACCTACTTACCATAATTAACCTAACCTATTTGTCACAATTAAACTGAACTAGCTGTCATAATTAACCTAACCTTGTTGTCATAATTAACTTAACCTACTTATCATAGTTAATCTAATCTAGTTGTCATAATTTACCTAATCTAGTTGTCATGATTCCCCTAATCTAGTAGTCATAAGTAACCAAACCTACTTAACATAATTAACCTAACCTAGTTGTCATAATTAACCTAACCTAATTGCTATAAATAACCTAACCCAGCTGTCATAAGTAACCTTACCTTCTAATCATAATTAACCTAACCTACTTCTCCTAATGAACCTAACCTACTTGTCATAATAAACCTAACCTAACTTTAGTACAATCACCCCCATCCCAAAATTGATTAATCCTTACAATTCGAATAATGCAATTAAATTCAAAGTGTGCTAACGTCGCAGCACGTTCGATTAAAGAATAAAGCGGAAGATTTATCCTTATAATTGCGTCCTTACTCCTCGAACGAGATCGCAGCGTCAGCAGTAATTCGTCAAAGGAATGACGGATTGCTTCTTGCCACAGGAATGATTGATCAGCTTGATTAAGACGGAAAATCACTTGTCAGGAACCGTCCAGGTAGAAGACAAACTTCCCTTTTAATGTCGCTCGAATCGAGGAAAAATCTGTCCGATCGGATCAACGAACGATAAAATGGCAATTTGATCGTCGAGAAGAAAGTTTCACGATCGCGCGTTTTACACGTGAGCTTCCATTAAACGAGCCTTTCAGAGAGCTTTCAACCCGGGGCACGATACAATGAACTTTTACTTCTTCGAATTATCGAAGGTGAATCTGAGAGAAAGTAACGGGGAAAATTTGTGAAAGGTATAAATGAAGAGGAAAGCTCGTGGAAAGTTTCTAGGTACGAAGAAGATTGGTAGTTGATGGTTGTAGGATGCTGTGTTTTGTGATTTTGTGATTCATGGGGAGATTCGTGTGATTTTATTGCTGTAAATTTTTATTTATCTAATTTTCTGTTTTATGAATTTTTTAATTCTTTAAATTCGAAATTTTCGTAATTCGCAGTTTGTGGGATGTCTACATTCTCAAATTCCCAGAACCCCTATTCCCAAACCTCCAAATCTCCAAATCTTCAAATCCCCAAATCCCCAAATCTCCAAATTCCCAAATTCCCAATTCCCCAAATCCCCAAAAACCCAAAAGCCCAAAACCCCTAATCCTCTAATCTCTAGATCTCCTAATCTCTAAATCTCCAAATCTCCAAATGCCCAAATTCCCAAATTCCCAAATTCCCAAATTCCCAAATTCTCAAATCCTCAAATTCCCAAATTCCCAAATTCCCAAATTCCCAAATTCCCCAATTCCCAAATTCCCAAATTCCCAAATCTCCAAATCTCCAAATCTCTAAATCTCTAAATCCTAAAATCTCCAAATCTTCAAATTCCCAAATTCCCAATTCCCCAAATCCCCAAATCCCCAAAAATCCAAAACCCCAAAACCCCTAATCCCCAAATCTCTAAATCTCTTAATCTCCAAATCTGGAAATCTGAAAATCTCCAAATTCCCAAATTCCCAAATCTCCAAATCACCAAATGCCCAAAATCCCAAAATCCCAAAATCTCCAAATCTCCAAATCTCCAAATCTCCAAATCTCCAAATCTCTAAATCTCCAAATCTCCAAATCTCCAAATCTCTAAATCTCTAAATCTCCAAATCTGCAAATCCGCAATTTTATAAAAAAAATTCATCTCAAATTACTAAAATAAGCCTAAAAATTATTAAAAATATCTGATAATATAAATTATTAACTCTTCCATAATTCTTCATAATTAATTCTTTTATCATTTGATTCCGCACAATTTTTTATGATCGTTCTTTTTGATGAAGGAATACAGTATCTGAAAATTATTAACGCGAAAGATACTTTTACGGTACACGCAATTATAAGCGACGTTTACACGCCTAACTAGTTAATTAAACTAGTTTTGAGCTGACGGAGTTCGTGGACCAGCAAGATTTTGGATAACGAAATTACTAGGCGGATATCAAGTTTTGATCGAACGAGCCTTTATGTAACGGAATTTTCTCGATAATTGAGGTTAACGAAATCGATCAGATTATCATTCTATAAAACGATAATTATCTGCATATTACTAGTAATTTATGTTATCAATTTCAACGTGATGAATTAGTGAAGTTTGATATGATCAATTTATTGATTAATGTGTGACTATAAATAAGGACGAGATTAATTCTATTTTTGATCAAAAATGAATGCACTGACGAGTATTTTATTTAATTTTGTTAAAGCAAGTATTAAATTTTTATAATTATTATACCGAGTTAAAGAATACTTTAAGTTTCCAAGTTTCACAATAAAATTTATTTTAAAAATATTCTAAACAATTACGATATTAGAATAGATATTATAATAGATATATAGCATATTTAATCAATGAAATCGATATTAATTGATTTTTTTATAAAAATTGAACGAGTGACGCCATCTTTCCAGCAAATAGGCTAAACTACACATTTTTTACGACTCGGTAAGTAAATTACCGACTCCGTACGTTGACCACTTCGCAGTCGGTAAATGTTTTCGTCTTGGTTCGTCTTAGTCTAATAAGATGGCGCCAGGAGTAAACTTTTTGGCGGTTTTTTTTTAAATCTTTCATAATAATAAAATACCAAAGTCAATAATTATTATTGCTTTAAACACTGTAATAAAATTTTAATTTCATTATTAAAGCATATGCATTTATAAATAATTAGGAAATTGAGAATATATAATGTTTGATAAACTCAAGATCTAAGAACTAAGCAGAGTACTTTTTTCTGAAGTGTGCAAGTATGGAGTGACAAATTTAGTATAATAAATACTATATACAAATAGTCAGCAACAAATGTTATATAATAAATAAATTATACAAGTATTCAACAACAAATTTATTATAATAAATAAAGTATACAACTATGCAATACTAAATAATTATTATCCTTATAAACAAACCTCCTTCTACAAACAATCTTTGTGTACAGAAAAACAATTATATCTTTTTATAATTCAATCTCTTGTTCCACCTCAAAATATTACAAATTTGCAATATCATCAAACTCTTTAAATAAAATTTATGTTATTACTTTTCATTATTTTCAATGAAATCAATAATGCGTCCAATTTCAAAATTAAACTCACAGTGTTTCAAAAACCAACATTTCCTACATTACTACATTTCCCAAAATTTCCAACATCTACAATATGAAAATCATTGAAAACCTCATAAGAATAACTATTAACATAATTCCCATAATTTGTCATGGTACCAAAAAAAGATCGTTTACCGAAAGTCTGAGTATATAAAATTAACCAAATTCGATTAACAGAGCTTATTTCCAAACTCCGTGTATACAGGAATGTTGTCCAACAATTTTCCATTAACCGATAATGTAATGGTGTTACAGTGTGGTGGTCAGAGCGGTGTCTGGATAGCGAGCGTGATCATACTGATAATTGGAAGCTGGATCGGCAAAGTTGGGCCACGACCAGCCGATGGCGAGATCGCACACCTAACATCGCCCAGGGAAAGATTGGAGACCGTGCGACAGGTTCTTTCAGAGGTGCCTTTGATCGACGGCCACAATGACCTACCCTGGAACATCCGAAACTTTGTCCATAATCAGCTGGAAGTTGGGCCACGACCAGCCGATGGCGAGATCGCACACCTAACATCGCCCAGGGAAAGATTGGAGACCGTGCGACAGGTTCTTTCAGAGGTGCCTTTGATCGACGGCCACAATGACCTACCCTGGAACATCCGAAACTTTGTCCATAAACAGCTGACCGACTTCGACTTCGACAAAGATCTGCGACAGGTCGCTCCATGGAGCAAGAACGCGTGGAGTCAGACCGACTTGGTCAGACTTCGTCAAGGGATGGTCGGTGGTCAGGTAACTAGTAGGTCTACGGACCAGATGCCTCATGACCACTTAGAGACGACACTATAGTGGCTTTCGCGACTATCTGTCTGTACAACGGTCCACTATAGTGGCTTTCGAATGTCGTAGATTACATAGCGCCTTGGCTCGCTCTACTGACTCGCGCACCGTTTCAATTGAACGATCATTTTCACATGTTTCGATTCGCACTTTTTGGCCTTCACGTTTTATAAGAGTATTAACAAATCCAAAAGTACATTACAAGTAAATAAAAGGTAACGCCATGTTTAGGCACCGTGGGACCTCTTCGCACTAATACGATATTTGAAACATTTGGAAATTACATTTTTTGTGAATTTTAAAGAAGTAGATTATCAAAGTTAAAGCATCTTTGGTAAAATTATAATTTAATCATGGAAAACTTCATTTCTATCAGGAGCAAGAATAACCGAATAAACGCAATAAATATTTGCATTCTATGATGCGTGTGACAAAACATAACCGAACCGTTGCTTGAAAAAGCAGAAAACGTAAGAGAGTGCAGTAATCGCTCCCAAATTACATAATTCAAGAGAGGGCAGCTAAAGTATCTACATCGATCCATTCTATCAATTTCAATATACTCGCATACAGAACAGAATTGTCATTACAGTGTTCTAAAATTTAGAAATACAAAAATTGTTAAAATCAATTATTAAACTTTGTGATTTTTGGATTTACAAATTTTCGTACATATAAGTCAGAACAGTAATCTAAAGTAGCATCCAACTACAAATTTTCGTACATATAAGTTAGAACAGTAATCTAATGTAGCATCCAACACCGCAGAAAGTAATTGTCAGTTATTACTCCGTGGTTCGCAGACTTTGGAGACTTTGATGATATTGAACCGACTTCGTGGTTTCGTTTTTGCACACCATAGCCGGGTGTTTCATTATGAGTGTCGTACAGCGTTATTACGTGTTGCCCTTATAAAGAAAGGAACATTTTCTGTGTCACCGTTGACCTGTCTTTAATATCAGACACATCCGCACTGTTGCACAAAACCTTAATGAAAATTCGAAATTCTCTTCCAAATATTGCAGTTTTTTCAGTAGGGTTGCTTTCTTCTTTTCTGCTGATATTAATAATAGCATTAATACTATTAATAACTAATAGTATTAATACATTTCTCTATTATTTATTAATGTTAACATCAATCGTATCAATGTATAATGCACACATATTCTAAAATTATAAACAAAGAAACGATTTTGGGAAAAGATTTCCACATTAAAATCATTCGATTTTAAATACGATCGATGTAATAAAATCGAAGCACCCGGTTTTATCAATGAAAAACATATAACAAGTACACTTTGTTAAGTCGTATCATAATGATCTGTCCAACCATAAATTACAGCAAATTTTCATGCGGAGGATTATTTATAGACGCTACGTGATACCATTATTTGCGGTACGGTAAATCATACGCGTAGAACCACGCTCGTAAAATTTGTCACGGTTGTACGCTACGAAATAATGAGTAATAAATTCGAGGGCAATAATGGACAGCGATCTTATTAAACTTCGACAATCAACTGAAATTCGAATGTGCTTTAATTGTAATCATAATCACCGGATATTTATAAATATGTCTTTACACGTTTGATAAGATTTCCATCAAAAACCAAACTGATATTCTTTTTGATTAAATCTTGATTGATGTAACTCGAATTGTTACACAACAATTACTGATATATATCACTAACAGAAGATAAAAATAATTAATTCAGTTTAGTAAAATTAGTTCTTTTTTCTACCAAACTTTCAATACTTTGAATAGCAAACTTTTGCAATCTTACATCACTTTCTAAATAAATGATATACTACGAATTATTACGTTCAAAAATGTTATTTAAAGTACTTTATTAACTCTGCCGTCCTCTTAAACTGTTCAAAAGGTTTAACATCCCTCTGGGCTCAGTATTTATACCGCCGAGGCCTTCAATGATTTATTTTAACCTGCTGGAAACACCGTGCTATAATTAAAAATTATTGTAGTACACCTGGGAAAATCAGTTAATTAACCAAAGAATAATCCTAATGAATAACGGTTTTTTTCTTCATAGTTTTGGGCTGCTTATGTGCCGTGCGAGTCGCAGCATCTCAACGCGGTGCAGCTGACTCTGGAGCAGGTGGACCTCATTAAGAGGCTCATAGAAAAATATTCGCAACACATGCAGTTTGCTGCATCTTCAAGAGGTGTGTATAAAACTCTCCGAATGTTTAAAATTGCCGAAACAAGTCACTATGTTCCCAAATTTTGTACTTTCTACATTAACCTTCATAAACTAATACTTACTGTATATTCTCTATAAATTATATTTACGTTTTGTTATCATAGTATAAAAGGAAAAGCTTGTTTTTATGTACTAGAATGTTTCTAATGCACGGACGAACTAATGAAATTAAATTTTCAGAAATCTTGGAGGCTCATGGAAGAGGGAGGATAGCTTCCCTCATCGGAGTGGAGGGTGGACATAGTCTAGGAAGTAGTTTAGCCGTTTTAAGGACGCTATATCAATTGGGTGTTCGATATCTCACGCTCACGCACACCTGTAACACACCTTGGGCAAAAAGCTCGTCGGTAGAAGACGAGGACGAAGATGGTAGGCGTGATTTCCTTTAACAGAAGTCAAAATCTTATGCTGATGTCGAGAATTAATAATACTAATAATATACATTAATTAAAAAGCATGTAAACATGAAGAGATTTTTACTTTAGGGTAAATGTTTCAGAGATGGAGAAAGAAAACTGATGAGTTTGTTCCAGGAGGCGGTCTAACAGCGTTTGGAAGAGCAGTGGTTCAAGAAATGAATAGACTGGGGATGCTGATAGACCTTAGTCACACAGCAAGAGCTACCATGAGGGATGCTTTAAGGGTCAGCAGAGCACCCCTCATTTTTTCTCATTCCTCCGCCTTTGCCATTTGTAATTCGTCGAGAAACGTTCCTGACGATATTCTGAAGCAGCTGGTACGAAAAAATACATTGATTATTCAATATTATAAAAAAGTCTCTTATAAATACTTATTTTAAAGTCTCTTATATGTATAATAGTATTTATAAGTCTCTTATAAAAAAGTCTCTTATGAATACTTATTGTAATAAGTCTCTTATAAATACTTATTTTAAAGTCTCTTATAAGTATGATAGTATTTATAAGTCTCTTATAAATAAGTCTCTTATAAATACATATTTTAAAGTCTCTTATAAATACTTATTTTAAAGTCTCTTATAAGTATAATAGTATTTATAAGTCTCTTATAAAAAAGTCTCTTATGAATACTTATTGTAATAAGTCTCTTATAAATACTTATTTTAAAGTCTCCTATAAGTATAATAATATTTATAAGTCTCTTATAAATACTTATTTTAAAGTCTCCTATAAGTATAATAATATTTATAAGTCTCTTATAAATACTTATTTTAAAGTCTCCTATAAGTATAATAATATTTATAAGTCTCTTATAAATACTTATTTTAAAGTCTCCTATAAGTATAATAATATTTATAAGTCTCTTATAAATACTTATTTTAAAGTCTCCTATAAGTATAATAATATTTATAAGTCTCTTATAAATACTTATTTTAAAGTCTCCTATAAGAATACTTATTGTAATAAGTCTCTTATAAATACTTATTTTAAAGTCTCCTATAAGTATAATAATATTTATAAGTCTCTTATAAATACTTATTTATAAAAGTCTCTTACAAATACTTATTTATAAAAGTCTCTTACAAATACTTTAATAATCTGTAATTCTCTTTGAGCAGATAAAAATGTACTAATTTCATTTACAGGCTGCTAATGGTGGATTAGTGATGGTGACCTTTTATAATTACTTCGTGAAATGTGGCTCTCAAGCCAGCGTTTCAGATGTCGCAGAGCACATTTACTACATTAGAAACTTAATTGGCGTGGACCACATCGGCGTCGGTGGCGATTTTGATGGCATCAACAAGTAAGAGTCCACTTAAAAATTTTGTCTTTGACTCGTTTGCAAGTTTAAACTCCAGGACACTTGCCATTTACCTAAAACATGAATACTGATCAGAATCTCTTAGTATTGAATTTATGATAAAGAACAAATTATCTGGTTCCATTAATCTAAATAAACTCAGATCTTAACGCATTTGAAATGCAAACCTTGTAAACTCAAATACTTTACATTTTTATTGACTTCCTAAGGACTTGAATAATATCATTCGGGAATTATATTCCGTTGACAGGACACCACGAGGTCTCGAAGATGTTTCAAAGTATCCAGAATTGTTCGCCGAACTTCTTCGCAGTGGCAAGTGGAACGTGCTGGACTTGAAGAAAGTTGCTGGTCTAAATTTGTTGAGAGTCTTGCGGCAGGTTGGAACTTAATTTCCCAGCTCTGAAATTTGAATTGGACAAATGTACAATTATTCTGATTTTAAAAAAGAAGTAAATGGTAATAGAGGATGTTTGATACAGGTGGAGCGAGTAAGGGACGACATGAGAACCGCAGGAGTAACACCATCTGAAGAGTACCTCCAAGATTCCCCTGACACGATTGGCAGTTGTGCGCTGGATATCAACTCCGTGCAAAGAGTCATGGAAGTCTGATTCTATCAATCCGTTGTGTTTCTGTATAACGTGTAAATTACTTCTGTATGACCTCCCTGCCGTCCTATTCTCGATAACGGATGCTATCCCGTCAGAGACAGGAAAATCATGATGAACAGTTCTGGAGGAAAGGGCTTCTCGTTGCTTGATTCTTGTGCGACCTGCCCCGCCTACGAAGTCTGTCCCTTTTTAGATGCTCAATCAGAATAATGTTAGACGAAAAGATGAAGGAAACCTACCTCGAACGAAAATATCGCGAACACAGTACACGTAGCTTGACATCTAATTTCTTCGTTTCAGACACAATTATTTTTAACGTGTCTTTGTATAAATACATTCATTCATTTTGTAATTGTTCTAGTGATACACGATTGTATTTTGCGTATGATTTTCTTCTTTTTTTATTGAAGTAAGATGCAATTATGCTTTATAAATAATATTACAAATGATGATCAGCAATAATTTAAACACAATGGCGTTTCATTCTTAAAATTAATAATTCCAAAAGTTTTAAACAAATTTGCAATATGTTAATGTATCTACAACACATGACTGCCAAAACAATACATCATACAAATAGTAAATAATAACTTGAGTTAACTTAATTGATTATAAATATGTTGATCTTTCAGTCACATTGATCAATTGCCTTTGTAACTCTCAGTTTAATGCTTTATTACAAAAATTCAGTTTATCTTTATGAATTTATAAAGAAGGAATGAAAAATATTAAAAACGCTAAGATGGCCAGAGGCTGTGTAATTAAATAAGTTTGAGAGAAGCTATTAAATAAATTTAATCTAGAATTAAAATAAAGTATCTGCCATTAGAAACAAACTCTGCAAACTTTCATCTAATTTTCTGTAAGAAATTGAGTTTATTGCGTGATTCGTGCATAATTTAGTTGTAGCACGCCTGAACAAATGAAAAGATGGTGACAATATAGTAAACCGTGACATTGCTGTATCTAGAAAAATCAAAAAAAAGAAGTATTGTGTGTAAACCCGGCTGTGTATCTTCGTACGTCTTCCCCACTCTGTTGTATTGTAAAGTGAGCACCTGTGTTTGAAACAAGAAAATATTACAGGTTTATTTGAAATAAGTTATTGTAATCGTTAAATGAAAGACATGTTTTCGAAAATAAAAAACATATCCGATTAAAATGAAAATGTAATTGCAAAATGAGTCTCACTATTAGCACTATAGGAAGAATAATTAACAATGTGAAGGAAACAAATGCTTTTTTCGAATATAGAGAATCTTGAATAAGATAAAAATTGCTCACAGAAGACGTCACTGATAGAATTCAAAACCTATATGCGTGTTTCTTGACGTGTTGTACCGGATGTAATCTATCACTTATACACATCCAAACTTTCCTCAACAAAGCATCATCTAATGTCTTTGACGTGTCACCGAAATTGTCGGGGTTAATACTCCTAGAAAGGATCGCATTTTTTGGTGAAAATTCATCCTTGCAATTTCCGTGTACCGTCGCTCACCTATCTGTGTCTCGTGTGCACTTATTACATGATTCGTGCGAGTTGAATCTTCATAAAGAATCAAGATGACGTTGCGAAATAAGTGAAACATGAAAACAACTCGCATGAATTGTACTCATACTTATATAAGAATAAAGTGCATGAATCATATGCTAGCGTGTGAATGATTGTAATATAGGAATAGATAAAAATACGTGATCAAACAAGGATATAATTTCCTTTCTATTTCTGTATCATTTCTTCAACACGCTCGTGCATTCTACTCTTATATTTCTATGAATGTACCTAACTCCTGTATCGGAGTAGGTAGAAAACTAGATTATCAAAACTTCCGTTGTATCTTTGCAGCGGATTCTATAAATAAATGTTTCTATTGTATGCTTGTCGTTATTCGTATCCTCGCTTTTCCTCAAGTTCCATTTCTTTCACAAATCTGATTCGTTGTGAAATTTATTAATTTTGGAAGCATAATATGCATATCATAGGCAACTATAGCAGTTGATATAAATGTTTTAAAATTAATATAAATACATAAACAGAATAAAAATTAAGAAGTAAATACTTTATTTATAAATACAAAAAAGATACTTCAATTCCATGTACCTCTTATTTATTCTTATTCTTTTAATACAAAGACAAATTATCCAGTTTTGTAAGTAGTTGTTGGTCGAGTTGACGAAATTCAAAAGCACATTGGTTTCGTTCAGTTTTGAGATCAATCTCGTGGCATAATAGAGATTCTAAACACAATGTCGTTCGAAGTCTTCCAAATGCTTCGACTTTTGTAAAATAATCTTTCGCTTTAGAAAGTATTTTAATTGCTTTTAAAATCACTTCTTTTCGTGCTTTATCGCTTGCAGGAGCGGTAGCAACTAAACATTTCGCATATAAAACAAACGCTCTACCTTGATCATAATATCCTCCATGAGCTAAGATTTGAGTAATTACTTCCTCCACTAAATTTAATGCTAAGGTCGGCATATTCATTATTAACTGAAATATTAATGGAATCAATAATTATTAATATAACGGTATTAGAAATTAATTAAATTTATTACCTGAATATTTGCAAGATGCATTTTAATTAATGCTTCGTAATAAGATAAATGGTTTTTTACAGCCAATTCTAAGGCTGTATTAAGAAGCACTAGAGAATTTGCTCCTGCAATTCTATTCTCTGGTGAAACAGATGCACACATTAACTGACTTGAAAGAATCATAGCTCGTATTCTATTTTGAGGTATAATTTGTTCATCCTTCTCGATACTGTCAATGCACTCTAAACCTTTGGGATAGTCTCCTTTGCCTAAATAAACTTCTGCCAACCTGGAAATTGCTTTCCATGTAAAATTTATGTAAATAATGAGTATTCACGTGTCATTTTAAAATAAATATTACTATACCTAAATTTACATTCCAATGAATCTAAACTTGATATATTTGATGCTATTGCTTCAGCTTCACTCCATTTTTCTTGTCTCACTGATTGTGTGAATACATAAAGCTGCTCGCTCAACATCCATATCTATGAAGTAGTCATAGGAAATGTTATAAACATGTCACATACATTTATTTTATTAAGATAAAAATTATATTTGTCAATAATACCTTATTACAAGGTTCATTAGGAAACCTTTCTTTAGCATGGGCAAGTACAATGTCAACCAAAGAATATTCACCAAATTCTACTAAAATATTTGCAACGTTAACAACAGCCTGACATGTAGATGGTCCATTGAACATGTGTTGTTTTTTATCCCCTGTATTATGTAAAAGTAACAGTTGCGCGCAAATCGAAGACATCTCGGTCTTACCATAATACGCCCATAATGCACATTTTTCAGCATACGTCATTGACATTAAATCTATCATGGAATGTTGACAATTCAAAACGTCAGATTTTGTCAAAGTCTGCGATTAAAAGTTTAATTATCGTTAAATATTAAATAAACATATTTCTAAAATTGTAACAATTACATTTATGTAGACTTATACCTCAAACACCTGCGATGGATTCTTAGCTTCTAAAGCAGAGTTATGTGCGTATGCAATAAGACCTAATCCAGTTGTATGAGTTATTCCTAACATACTCGCTTTACCGACGGATCTTTCTATAAGAGGCCCTCTAAAAATACATCAATGATATGATGATTAATACGTATTAGTACTTATTAAGTAATTTCAAAACTTACTTTTGCCTAGTAGTTAAATAGTACATCCAAGCATGAGCTAATTGTAAACATACATTATCACCAGCTTCTTGTGCCATCATGATAGCTTCTTTTAAAGCAGCTTGTGCTACTTCTCTTTTAAAAGAAAAAAAACATTAACACAAAATCCATTTAGTAATCAACTTGAAAGTTTGTATTAGAACATACTTATGATTAAATTGAGCATGTAGAACCGCTAAATTTAAAGCTGCATATCTAAAGATACGAGGCCTATCTTCAGGTGCAGAACGATTTTCCATAGCAGCTAATCTATCGAAACAATGATATAGACTATCTACAGCCCCACAATATTCGTTAACTCTTAAGCAATTTAAGTAACTTAAATAATGCTGAAACAATTAAGAAATAAATAATATAAAGACATTTTTGTTTACACTTACATGTAAACAGAAAAATACTCTTACCACACAGTACTCACAGCTTCAGCATAATAAGGACTGCAACTTAAAAGTTCTCGTACAAGAACTTGTAGCTCTGCAGGGGGCATTGCTTTGTGTTCATCTGTCTGCAGTGCATGCGCTTGTTGTGCAACAAGTAATTCTGCCTGCCTTCCACCCCAAGTTGTTTTAATTCTGTTGATGATATAACATATTGTAATTTAAATAAAGAAAATACAAATAAAACTTGTACAAAAAAAATAACATACTCATTCGAATAAGAATCATCTAGTTTAGAACCCATACAAATACCAGAACTTTCGGAAGTATTAGTTCTTCTTTCTAAATATTTTTTTAAAGCTTCATAGAGTGCAACTACTTGATCAAAAGGTAATTTCTCAAAAAAAATAATAACCCTCCTTATATATAATCCCAGAACAGAATTTTTATTCAGCGCAGGCAAAGAAAGAGAATGATCTAAAGTTGGTTTCATCAGACGTCCAACACTATCAAATAGATCTAATAGTCCTTCGACTCCTTTTCCTTTCAACACATTTAATTGCACCTCCAACTGATGAGCAAAACGATGCAAAATATATTCAGAAGAGTATAATATATTCAATAATGCATTAAACTCCATATCTGGTGACTGAAAAAAGAAATATTATACTTGTTGAAATCAAAATTATATATATAAATAACTATAATAATGACTAACACTTACTTGAATCAATTTTAATGCAGCTAAACAAAAGTCACGTCTTTCAACAATTGCTATAAAAAAATTACATTATTATTAATAGTATATTGGTTTTCACATGTTGTTGATTGTAGAGAATTACAAATATTATATTACAGCACTGTAACATTTAGAAATGTCAAAAATAAAAATACCTTTTGTTGTTTCATTACAATATTCTTTAATTAAAATGACAGTTGCAACTTTGTATGGCGTTAAAGTTTCCTTCTGTACACGTTTTATATTTCCATCAATATTCATTAAATCTACAGACATACTGAATAACGTTTTACAACACATATAATTAAAAGAATTATATAATTTTCATTGTATACAAACAAACAAATTTTATTAAAGAAACATAAACAACCAACGTGTATTCAGTGACTACAGAATTAAACGTAGTTCACTATTTTCGCCGTAAGAGACCTCTGAAGCAGTGTTGGACAGTCGTGAGATTTTATCTCACGCGAGAGCTTTATGCGCATACGTCAGCTGATGTCACAGCTTGCTGCCAATGCCGTACCTAGCCGGTACACGCAGTAGTGACTGATGAGGGCACATTAATGAGCCCAAATAATTTTTCAAAAATTCTTATAATTGCATTGTAAACTATGAATGTATAGGTTGGGTTAGATTACATTAGACTGGGTTAGGTTAGTTATATATATGACTGTATAAATCTATACAACTATATATACATATATTTTTAGTAAAATTACAATCGTAGCTCTTAAATTCTAAATTCTAATTCTAAGTTAAATTCTAATCGTAGCTCTTAGCTCGGTATAGTTCTCTGAAGATTTTTTAAAGTCTTCAGAGAACTATACCAATTACCAGGTCACACCACGTGGAGGTGGCTACGATAGCGACCCACCCTAACTCCAAATCCCTTCCTCCCACCAAATGCAAACCTCATTTATCAGAAGGATAAATGAGTTTTAACTCTACTCAGCTCATACGCTCGCATGTACAAGTTCTTTACCACAATCCAGTAAAGAGCTTGTATCACACACACACAC